CCTGCATTGTTGTTACGGTTGAAAGTCCTCCTTGGTTGCTCCCTATCTTGGTCGATCAGACCCTGTTTCATTGCATCTTCAATTTGTACCCCCATCTCATGCAGATTGGAAAAGGTAGGGAAGGGGGTACAATCATCTTTTGCATCAATTTTGGCTGGAGATTGCGCACAATCATCCTGATCTGGTCTTTATCGGTGGGCCTTAAAGTCATCATCGAGGCCTTCGCCATTCACCGGGTTACAAAATCCGAGAAACTCTCCTTGGGCTCCTGTGTTGTTGTTTCGACATCACAAGTTATAATCTCAATTTGGGTGTTATAAGACTATTGCGCAACAAAGGCTTCAGCCATTTCATCCCAACTTCGCTTGACATCGTCCTCCAACTTTGCATACCAGATGGCGGCTACACCCGACAGGGTCCGGCCAAATAGTGAAAGCTTATGGGGTCTAGTTAGGCCCATTGGCCGCAGTATATCTGAGAATAGCCGGAGGTGGACCATGGGATCCCCAGACCCGTCGAAGCGATCGATCTGTGGCATTTTAAATCTATTCGCTTGACATCGGTATATCCGTCTTCGATATCCGGAATAGCCTTTACCCCTTGCGATTTTTTAAAGAGCTTCTCAAGCTTGCTCAGTTTCAGCGCTGTTGGGTCTATTTTGAACTCGAAGGGAGAGTCCGATTGGTTGATAGGCGTAGGCGCCTTGGACAGTTGAGGCAGAAGTGGGGGCGGAGCCGGCCCCGTTGGAAGGTCTGTGTCCTCCTGGACGTTCTGGACATTTGGCAAGGTGTTCCGGGCATTTGGCAAGACATTCTGGACAGTTGGTGTCTGCTCTGGTAACGGGATCCCTGGTGGGGGAGGAACTGGATGTGAGGCTGACGCTCCGGCTTGCTGCTGGAGCCGGGTAATTAGCTCCGCCTGCTGGGCCATGATTGTGGCCTGCTGTTTAGAGAATTCCGCTTGGCGGACAGCGTCCTCCTGCATTTGCTTCATGCTCTCTTGGAGCTGACGCATCATTTCCTCAATTCTGGCTACACTCTGCTGATCCTGCTGACTGGCTGGTATGTGTATTTCTATGGCAGAAACTAAAACCTCAGCCCGACTGTTCACTGCTAGGGTAGACCACTGTTCTGGTAACCTCCGCTCAGACACACTGCGTTTTCTTGGCCTTCTTCTGACAACTGGGGGTAAAGAACGAAACACTGGCTGTCCGTCAACCAGATCCTCGGATCGATTGAGCCGACGACCTCTTGTCCAAAGTGCTTGGGGAATATCTATTGGGTCGGAAGCAATTGTGCTAAAACTACCCCTAGTAAAAAGGAAAATAAAGAAATAAAGAAATAAATAAACAGATAAACGGACAGCATAACAGCTTAAAGTAAATACACAACACACAGCTGGGCATAACAACACATGGTCGATAAGCTGAATACACATTTTCCTCAATCACTGATCATTATCCCTGAATCACTGTTTCCAAAGACTGATTCTGATACCCGCAGATAACTGATTCTCAAACACAAACTGATGCCCGCAGGCCTGATGCCCCAAACTTGCAAACTGATACATGCAACCCCTGTAGAGACACACTCTGATAGCACATAACAGATAAGTGAGGGCCAAAACACCCCTATGTTGGGGTAAGGTTTTCCCTGTCCTATTTTGTTAGGAGCTAGGGTTTCACTACGCACGCAGCGGTTTCAAACAACCTATAAACGGGTAAGCAGCCTGTCCTAGTTTGGAATGGTCACTATGGATCCGAATATGCACTAGGTCGAATGGTCGAAAAGGGTGCCCCGGTAAAACAGGGGTTTGTGTTCCCATACTGGCAGAGCCCATAACCGGTCAGTCTTATGGTCATGCCTTGACAAGACAAGCCTCCGACAAACCGTTCAGGAATAGCAGATTGCAAACACGGTGCCCTAGGCGCACCAATGCACATGCAATGCAAAGAAACACACAAGTGTAGTCAAAACAAGATATCATGAGTTCGAGTCAAGTTCTCTAACTCCCTAGCAGAGTCGCCAGAAACTGTAGGCGTCCCTGAACGCCCCGAGAGGGATGAGTCCCCCCCGTTCTGTTCATGTTGGGCTCACTACAGTTCAGGACTCTCAAATTATCACGGTTCTAAATCTGAACCAAAGAGTCCAAATCCGGCAAATCGTTTTGAGAAAACTGATTTTGAAAGAAGTGCCAAACATGGACTGCTTTGCCAGATACAGAGTCGCCACCTAAATAACCTTTGCATCTTACACCTACCTTTCTTATTTTCTTTATTTAATTCAGGGTCATGATGGGAGATAGGCAAGATTTGTACCAAATTTTCTACTTCTTTCTACAGTTTGTTATGGTTCACCATCTCCCTTTTCTCTCTCTTTTCTTTTCTTTTCTTTCCCCTTAGTGTTTCTGAGAATCACATTAGACCTCCACAAAATTGGAAACTCAACTTTTTTTTGTTAATTTTGTCCATTTTTTCAAGTTATAACACTGATATTGATGACCTTGTGTAGTGATACATACATTACTGGGATAAACAACAATGAGTATCAAATAACAAGAGGAACAGTAAGTAATTTTCATGTTGGTGGATAACAGAACTATTTCTTCATATCTGCATTGATTTTGAATACATTCTATTATAGTGGAATCTCCTAGTTAAAATTCAACTATCTTTCCTGTTCATAACCACTAAAACAGTTAAGAGTTTTTTGCTTGTTTATATGCTTGGAGTGCTTTGGTTGCTCTGCAGGAACTGAACCGCATTGCAGGAGTGGACAACAACTGCAACTATGTGAAGGCTGACTTCATGAATATGCCATTTTTTGACAACAGTTTTGATGCAATATTTGCAATAGAAGCTACCTGTCATGCACCAGATGTGGTATGCTGTCAGAATGCTCGTTAGGTTCATGTGTAAATTTTTCTAATCTTACATATTGGGTTGTATAGGTCCCTCTATTTATATATAATTTGTTTAATCCTTTTTGTGTGTGTGTGTGTGTGTGTGTGTGTGTGTGTGTGTGTGTGTGGGTGTGTGGATGTTAACTAGGTGGATTGCTATAAAGAGATTTTCGGAGTGTTGAAGCCCGGCCAATGTTTTGCTGCTTATGAGTGGTGCATCACTGATTCTTTTGATTCGAACAATGAAGAGCACCAGAGAATCAAGGTTTTACAGATTCAATATGCCTGTTGACTTGCTTTCTCTGTCGGAAGACAAACTTAATTTCTTTGGAAACAGGGTGAGGTTGAGCTTGGTAATGGACTTCCAGATATCAGGTCAATGAAACAATGTCTTGAAGCTCTGAAACTTGCACTCAAGTGGATTCACATTCACTAATGTAAGTCGTAAAAGTTTATGGAACAAGCACGGTAAAATTTGGTTTAAAATTTACTTTAAAATTTTTATTTTTTCTCTTCTAGGTTGCATATTAATATATTTAGTGAATGGTTACCTTAACCTTTTGTTGTTGTTGTTGTTGTTTTTTTTTTTTTTCTTTTTAAATGGCAGATTGAAGATGAACGAATTTGGTAACCTGCATAGCAAGAGTTTTTTGTTAATATTACCAGACACATCCATCACAGTGTAGTTGTACTTTTTGTTGATATTACCAAACATGTATTTTGACTATGTTGTTGTGGGCTATGATTATATTGTGATGGATCTTATCTTTTTGTTGATATTTTATTGAATAGATTAAAATGAACAGGTTTTTGTTGATATTACCAAATGAACAGGTTTTTGTAATGATTTGTAATGGATATTATATTCAGCAGGTTATTAAAATGCACAAGTTATTTTGATTGTGTTGTAGTTTTTGATTTTACTAAAATAGATGTTATAATTTATACTATGAGACATGTATTTTGCTTGGGTTGTTTTATGATAATGAACAGTTTAATTTTATATTGATTTGTATTAGATGTTTTATTTAATAGATTATTAAAATGTACAGGTATTAAAAATATATAAATTGCAAATATAACCCTCCCCTTAATTTTTAAAATTTATTTATTATTGGCGACGAAAAAAATTGACACTAAAACTTTCTAATCCCAACAAATAATTTCGTCACACACATTCACTATTTCATCACTAAATTAAAATATTTGTTGACAAAAGTTTTCGTCATTGAAGGATCTTTTTTTTCCATCTTTTGGTGACGATATTTTCGTCACTAAAAATTTTATCACTATTTTTAATGACGAAATATTTTGTCACCCAAAACAAATATAATAGAAGTTTATTTAATTCTAGTGACGAAATGGACGTTATAGGTGACAAAATATTTAACATTTAGTGACGAAATATTTCGTCACCAAATACCAATAATAGGTGACAAAATAAATTTTCGTCATCGGGTACTTTTAGTGACGACGAATTGATGACGAACGTGGTGACGAAATTATTTCGTCACGGATCAATTTAGTGACGAAAATTTCACTATTGGAGACGAAATGATTTTGTCATTAAAGTACCATTTTGTTGTAGTGAACATGAGTGGACCTCAGCCACACTCACATCAGTAGCCATGAGATGAAAATGAGACACTCGAAATACGTGCACACATGCACGCAAACCGAGGACCGATCCTAAGGCACATAACAAGGCATGGCAAGGCACGAAATATGGCATACAAACATGCAAGTTTCAGCACTGAAATGTGATGCAAAATGATCCCGAAACATGGAAACATGGCACCCGATGCATGGAATGGCCCCAAAACACAAAACTAGGCATACGCATTGGCCTATAGCTATACAAAACATGCGTTATTTTATCATGAAGAATGAAGACAGATGCAAGACAGTCCCAAAACATGCATATTTCCAGTTTATAACAAGCCTCAAAGATGAACACAAATAGGGCTAATCTATCATGCAAAAATGGCCCTAAAAGAGAGGTTAAACACAAAGGGACAGCATCTGGCCCCAAATGGAAAAGAGCCCTTCAACAAAGTTGAATAGGGGCTCAAAATAAGGCACTTTAAAGTTTACATCAAGCCACAAAAATAATCACAAATAAGGTCAAACTATCATGCAAGAAAAGGGCTAAAAGAGGGGTAAAGAGACAAGTGGCAGCTTCTGTTCTCAAACAGAGGAGATCCCTTCAACAATGTTGAAGAGGGACTCAAAAAACGATATTTTACAGTTTATGTCAAGATCCAAAACAGCTCACAAATAGGCCTAAAATACTATGCAAAAATTGACCTAAAAGAGAGATAAAGAAGCAAGTGATAGCAGGAGGCCTCAAACAGAGGAGAGCTCTTCAACAATGTTGAAGAGGGTCTCAAAAAAAGTTATTTTACAGTTTATTGCAGAGTCCAAAACAACTCAAAAATAGGCCTAAAATACTATGCAAAAATAAGGCCTAAAAGAGAGTTAAAGAGGCAAGTGATAACTGCTGGCTTCAAACAAAGAAAGACCCTTAATCAAACATGAAAAGGGACACAAAATATGACTATTTACAGTTTGGGTCGGAGCCCAAATATGCAAGCAAGTACGGCTTAGATACAAAGCAAAATAAGGCACAAAAGAGGGAAAATGGGACTCACCCTTGTAGACCAATGGACCAGCAACTCTTGGACCAAGTTTGGGAGCTCTTCACCTCTGGAAAGTAGCCTCAAGTTGCTGGAATGGAGGATAGAGGCCTTATGCTATGGGTTGATGTAGAAATGGTGTAGGAGCAAGGTGGTTTTGAGGGTTGGAATAGAGAGAGAGAGAGATTGAATGCAAGGGCTCAAGACCATATTTTGTAACCCTGAAAAATGGAGCTGGGGGGATGTTTTTATAGAGGAGAGGAGGGGAGAAAAGGGGGGGAAATCAAATTCAAATTTCCCCCCAAAAGGGCACCCCTCGGATATAGGGTCTGGGGGAAACAAAATACACAGCTGGAAGGAACCAGGTGAGAGGATTCTGGCCGACCAGGTTCAGAAGGTTCAGGTGGCCGGCCGGCCACCTCCTCTGGTCGGCCGACCAGGGGTCAAAAGGGTCAATTACAATTACTGGTCGACCTACCCAGAAAGGTGGCATCCCAAATGAGCACAACACAACTATGTGGTTGAAACCCAGAAAAAATGAACCAGGAGAGAGAAAAGACCATTTTTGAGAGAGGGGGTCAAAAGGGTCAGGCACAATTACTGGTCGGCCACCAAATATTGGTGGCCTCCCAGGTGTGTACAACACAAATATGCGGTTTAGGGTTTAAGAAAGTGGCCCCGGGGTGGTCAACATTGGCTTTCAAGTGAGGAAAACGGGCGTCGGAGAGCGATGAAGAAATAAAGTTGGCTTTTCAGAACAACTGCTGGCCTCCCACCCTCCTACAAGCTTCCTAACTATGAAATAAGGTCTCCACCAAAAATGAACCAAAACGGATGCAAAACGGAGGTTCGAGGACCGAAACGCGCGGAGGTGGCGTTCAACCACGAAGTTGGTCTCTCGGACCCCAGTGTCCCTCAAAAGGGAGTAAATAAAGTGTGTGCCAAAAACCGGAGCAAACGGAGGTGGTTAGGCAGTCCCGAACCGAGGCACACGGCCGTTGGCTCCGAAAAACCAGAAATCGGGCTCCAAACAGGAAAAATGGCCTACGACCACGAAACGTAGCCTACGGCAACTGAGAGATGATCTACGAGACCTTTCCTTCCCTTCGGAAAGAGAAAACAGAGAAAACATAGCCTGGTTCGTAAACCGAGGCAAGGCACGAAAGAGTCCGGAAGTTCGGAGGCAAGGCTCGCAGCTGAGGCTCTGAAACTTCTAAACGAGCACAATATGCAATATCACAGAGCGCTCAATTGGTGACGTCTGAGTCTTAAGGTCGGTCAAAAATGGGGTGTCTACAGTTGTCAAGCCTAAAAATTAACTACCACAAGAGTGTGGCGTGTCGAGTTGGGCTATCAGATGAAGCATCCAAGGAATTTGCTGATAAGCTCAATTGTCTACATCAAAGTTTGCCCCTGAAGTACCTAGGTCTCCCTCTGGGCGCAAGTCCAAGGTCGAAAAGAACCTGGCAGCCAGTGTTAGCCAAATGCAAACAAAGACTTGCTTCTTACAAGAGAAGATTCCTCTCTTTTGCTGGTAGGGTGACTTTGATTAAATCTGTATTGTCTAGCTTACCAATTTATTATCTATCTTTGTTCAAAATGCTAGTAGGGGTTGCTAAGGATTTTGTGTCAATTCAATCTAATTTTCTATGGGGAGGGGATGGCTTTAGAAGGAAAATACATTTGGTCAAATGGCAGGTCATTTCAAAAAGTAAACAGCAGGGGGGTTTAGGGGTAAAAAGGATTAGACTTATGAATGATTGTCTCTTATTGAAATGGTGGTGGAGGTTTGGGGCTGAACCTAATGCTCTGTGGAAACAGGTGATTCAAAACAAATACAATCAGGTGGGTGTTGGGTGGTGTCCAGAACCTGTTGATAACACTAGGAACTCATGTATGTGGGCTGGCATTTTGGATGTTGCTCAAACCAAACCTGATTTGGTGGAATTCTTTAAAGAAAACTCTGCTCCAGTGATTGGGGATGGAAAAAACACTCTGTTCTGGAGAGGTGCATGATGCAATAATGTGTGCATGATGGAAGCTTTCCCTAGGCTCTATTCCTTGTCTCTGGAGAAGTTTGAATCTGTGAATGTGATGCATCTTAGAAGGAATAGTGAGATGGAGTGGAACCTTAATTTCAGAAGATCACTCTTTCAGTGGGAGGTGAAAGATTTGAATAGATTGAAACTGCTACTGATGAATGCTCTAGTTCTTAGGGAAAATATGGTTGATTCTTTGCATTGGAAAGCAAATCCATCCGGAAACTTCACTGTTTCCTCCGCTTATGAGTGGTGTGATCATTCCTTACACACAGTGTGTAAGGTAACTGATCTTATATGGAATAATGTATCTTCACCTAGAGCTCAATTCTTTGGCTGGTTAGCATGGAATGGGAAGATAAAGACTTCCAATTTTCTGCACCAAATTAAAGTGCTCTCTAATGAGGCTAATATGAATTGCATTTTCTGCAATGTGGGAGTGGAGAATGTCAATCATGTGCTTCTGCATTGCCCTTTTGCTTGGAAGGTTTAGTCACATATGCTAAATTGGTGGGGGTTGTTGTGGGTTCAACCTGGTACTATACATTGTTTATTAGAATGGTGGGCTAGTACAAGGATGAAAAAACAAGAGAGGGTGTTCTGAAAGGCCTTGCCTCTAGCTGTGCTTTGGTTCATCTGGAAACTGAGAAATGATTGCATTTTTAATAGCATTCATCCAAATTTTGAGGAGCTGTGTGAGGTCATTAAAGTGCGAGTTGCAATGTGGAGCAAAGCTGTTGGCTCTTCTTTCTCAGGGTTTTCAGTAACTGATATTGTGAACAACCTGCAACAGGTAAGGTTCTGCAATAGGGGTATTGGCTGAGTACAGATGTCTGTTGCTGTCCTGTCCTTCATGCTGCTATTTTTTGTTTTTGTTTGAGTGTGGTCTGTATCACTGTGAAGCTTGCTGCATCAGTCCATCATCCAATTCCTTGTTCTTCTTGGCAACAGGATTGTATTTCTACTCTAAGGGATCAGTTTTGGTTTGGGAGGTGTATGCTTTGGTCAGTGGCCTGGAGTTTGGTATTTTGCTGTATTTTGCTCTGTTTTGGCCTTGGTTTCTCTGGAGTGTGGTTGCTTTGGTGTGAGGTCTGCTGGTTTTGCATTGGTGTGAGGTCTGGGAACTGTATGCACTGGAATCTGTTGGAATATGAGGGCGAACTGAGTAGGCCAGATGCTGTGATGGTGCATGTTGGGGGTGGTGGTAGTTGTCTGCTGGCCTGATGGACTAATGCTGGATTGATGCAGAGGGGAGTTTGTGGGTGGTTCTTGGAGTGGTCTGCTGGACTGATGCAGAGGGGAGTTTTGTTGGTGGACTGTTTTGGTTTTTTTCTGTGTATCTTCTGGTTGTTCTCTCATCAACCTAGGTGTGCTAGTAAATGATTAGGGCTTTCCTCGCAGTGTCAACCTAGTTAGGATCGTGCGGTTTGCTTTGATGCCTTTTGCACTTCCTCTTCCTTTTGTTGATGTAATTCCTGTTTGGCAATTTTCATCAATAAAGGGTTACTTTTTTGCTGTTAAAAAAAAAAAAAAAAACTTATCTTTATTTTTGACAAAATTACACTGGCTTCAATTGAAATTTAATTCACATAGCAGTTAGTTTTTCTTCAATAATTTATTAGTCATATAAATAAAAAAAAATATTATCATCTACTTTCAATTAAAATGTATGTTTATTTTTATTTATTTCTTTGTCTACCTATCATATGTATTAGTTCCAGTCGGTTCAACTATATCACAAGAGAGGTCAGTGCAATTCTATTAGAAGTGTAAGACTAATTGTATTCTTCCAAAATCTCAATGGAGGTGAGTATAATTTACCCAAAAATAATTGAAAATTTATTGGGGGTTAAAAGAAAGAAGTCCCGTAAAATACTTGTATCAATGGAACAATTATTCATTAGAAAGAGTGAGAAGTGGATTCATCATACAACAATGCTTATTTAATATTTGAAATTACAATCAATCTTGTTTTTTAGTAAACAAATATATATAACACTTTTTTTTACATTCCAATAGTATGTACGCCAATTTCTAGCCACCATGATGAACAATTAATAAAGCCAGCTGCTCCTCCATTATTGCATAGAAACCTGAAATAATAATAACCAACAAATCTAATTTTGTTAAACAAAATACAGTTGTAGTAACTTCATACACAATTGCTCCAAGTTTATATTTTCTTTGGAAAATGATACCTGTCACCGGATGAATATTTATTTTGATTTTCAGCATTTTATTTTACTTTCTATACTTTAATCCAAACAACAAATGCCTCATTTTTGTGTACGATTAACCAGATTTCTTCTATATCAACATCATTCGTTTTTTTATTTTTTGTTTTTTTTACATCTTTGAATTATATGTCAACATATTTTTTGCTTTTATTAATTGCTTAATTATTATCTCTAAATTATGAGTCCATGCAGGGGGTGATACAACAAGGTAATTAAAAATCAATGAAATGTAGCATTTCTCTTAAAAAATAATATAGGACCGATCATGCCACACAAAAAGCCACGTAGAAGGTGAAGAGTTTATTCTGGTGAAATATAACAACTGTTATTTGAGATATCTGTGATATGAATCAAATCAATTAAATGGCAAAGGTGCACAATTGAAATATGCAAAATAAACTTTAGTTTTGGTCAATAATATTATGATAAAAAAAAATCATATTAAAAATCAACACAAAATGACGTTGCAATTTTTTTTTTTTAAATGTCACTATCATGATAATAAATGTGATCCCATCATTGTGATAATAAATTTTATATAATAAACTAAGAATAAAAATTTTCATAATCGTATGATGATGTAAAGTTGCACCATTGCACTATCTATGGCATAACAAAGGATATAGAACAAATTAATGACCCATTCTTACCTCATGAGACTTCTTGCATCATCCATTGCTGCAAATTCCACTTTGAATTTGAAGAACTTGAACTAATAATAAAGAATAAGCACATTAATATTGTCATCTTTATTGTATTATATACTGCTAGATGACTGATGAATATGGCATTGCTATATAATATATATATCTTCTTCTGATTAAGGGCATTGTGGCGAAACAACTCCGCTTTTACTGGGTTTGACATTGTTGCATGAAGCTTTTCCTGGTGTGATGTTCACATCTTGCAACACAATCCCTTGACATGGATAGTTCTTACTGCAATCGAATGTTATGGCAACGCTGGAGGCACTTGTTCCTTTGATGTTTTGGTACATCACATTTTTCACTTGAACAGCTGAACTCTGTGATGAAAAATGAAGGCAAATAAGAGTTGATTTTGTGTATATAGAGAATATTTTAAATAATGGTATTATCAGCGATGCTATTATAAATCATCAATTGATATAATAGTATGAACTAACAGAATCAATGTCGAAAATTCGAAATTCCAATATTATATGATCTTTTTACCTGTTCAGCACATGGTTTATCTTGGTCACAGTATTTTTGGTCTATGATAATGGGGTTGGCCACATTATTCATTTCCACATTTTGAAATTTAATGTTGCTTGCACTTCCAGATCCCCCCTGCGTATTAAAACATGTAAAATATTTTATTTTTCTAAAATTTTTACAAAGAATTATTCACAAAAATAATGTGACAATGGAAACATTTTATATTAAGAAATATTTTGATGATTTTTTGTTTGAAATAATTGGCTCACAACTTTGTCACGCCAGTATATATATTCAATTGTATGCATGGTCAATAGAGGACTTTCATAATAGAGGCAATTTGCTAGATTTGAGGATAAATGATCTTTTTTTTTATTTTTTAAAATCATTTTCTATTACTCGGTACATGGCAAATGAAATTTAAAAATATATGTCCAAAAAAAGGAACCTATCTTGAGTATGAAGGAGGCAATGAATATGATATATAACGATGAAAAACAAAAATCCCAATCGAACCTGCCATAATTCTATCAAAAATTTCAGTGCTCAAATCTACATTAATTTATTCCATTTATTAGAACTAGAAATAAATGAGACAATGAAAATGAGAGTTTGACATTACGTACATGCATGCATGCATGCATGCTAACGTGTAAATATTGAAAGATTGAGTGCATGCATATTATTGTTCCGTTTGGAAATTGAGCATTGTAGTAAAAAAAAAAATTTAGAAATCATTAAAAAATTAAAAAGCTAAAAAAGTATAAAAGAAAAGTGAAAGATTTTTTCTCATTCTCTCTACTTTTTACACTATTTTTTTTATAAAAATTAAAAAAGTTATTTTCAAATACTTCATATTTTAGCTAAAAGCAAAATATCATTTTCCAAATGAATCCTACCTGCCAGGTCTTGATCCGGACTCCATTGGTTGTACCAGAAAGCTTAGCTCCATTCACCACCACATCTGATACATGTTCTTCTGATTTCCCAGATCCTAAGCCTCCAATACTGATATTATTTCCAAAACGAAAGCATTCAATTATATAGAACAAAAAAAAAAACAAAAAAAACAAACAAGAACAACTGTTGAAATGGAGACCTGATTCCATGCCCTGGTCCACAGGTTATGTCCGTGGCCTGCACCTTCTGTGACCCACTTACTATTGATATACAATCATCACCTACAATTTTGTAAAATGAAAATGTATAAGTTAAAGTTGAATTGCTAACCATTTTTTGATCAGCAAAGAAAAATTTCAAAAATTTCATTTTGAATTGCTAACCATTAATTCATTTATTATTCAAGAGATCAATAATTTTATTATTTATAATCTCTACACGTTCTCTACTTGTGAACAAACTTTCTCTCATAAATAGATTAAATAAGTGATTATCAACTCATATAAAATCTTAGACTTTATTTGACTCGACTTTTAAGAGATTTATCTTTTTGACTTATTTATAAACTTTTCCCAATTTTGAGTCAAAATTCTTACTTTTTAGACTAGATGACCCTAAACTTTAAAAAGTACTAAAAAAATAAAAATTGAATTATTTTTTAAAAAAGTCTAGTAAAGACGAAAATAAGCTGAATTTTATAATAATAATAATAAACCCTTAAAGAGTTAGCTTTATTTTTGTCTTTTTTGATTTTTTTCATATTTTTTTCAAAATTTGACATGAGGTTGAAAAATAAAATTTACTAAAGAAAAAAACAAATCATAAAAATAAGCAAATTTATAAATTTAAAAAAAAAACTCTTAAACTATTAGAGAGTATATAACTTTTTATTTATATTCTCAACACAGTTCATTGATATTTTGTGCTATTATATTTTTTTTTTTTTGATTATGATATAAATATGCATACCCGTGCCTATAATGCAGCTTGAAATCTGGATGTTTTGGGTGTTGGTGACATGAATTCCGTCAGTGTTAGGGCTCTTCTCCGGCGAAGACACCACAAGATTGGATGCTTGAACATTCACGCACCCCTCGAATGAAACATGAATTTGCTGTGCATTTTTTATCTTCAGGTTGTTCACTTTGATATTGTTTGACTTGTAGAAAGTCAATGCCTGCCAAAAACAAAAATTTTCACAATATTACAACATTTCTCAAACTAGATAAATTTGTAGCTACTTAAAAATAAAAAAGGATGTGATGGTGGCATTTTTGTAATTTAAAGTCATTAGAAAGTATTGTTCTAAAAGGATAAATCTCAGTGCAATTGCATCATTCTGTATATAAATTTTATTTGTTTTTTTTTTTTTTTGCATTACTTTTTTTTTATCAGTGAAAAAGAAGTTTGTGAAAAAGAAGTTTATATACAAAATTTCCAAGTAACAAAATATAAATAAATTGATGGCATAGTGAAGGAAAACCCAAATTAGTTAGCAAAAATAACTATTATTTCTACTCTCCTAAAAGATAAAATTATATGAAAATGATGAGTAATTTTTTTCACTTTTTTCACAAAATTAACTTCTAAAATTTTAGATTTTTTTTTTCTAAAAATAGATTATAAAAACCAAACTAAATAGAGTCAAAGGTTCACAATTTTGATGACGAAAATTACTCTATTTAGACACAAGTACTTTAATCTTTTTTATATTTTTTATCGGCAAAACAAAGATTCATTGATAAAAATAATATGACCAACACATATATAAGGTAGTAGGGGCTAGAATAGCAAAAAGTACTTTAATCTTATTTGAGTCTAAGTCAAATGCTCAGTTCCACTCTAAATCAAAAAATGCAATATTCATAAAAAATTATAAACACAAAAATTATTACATTTTTATAATATAAATCAAAACAATGGTTTGTTTATTTATATCCAATGAAAGAATATAAGTTAAAAACATTATTCCATATATGTTAATTAATGAGGATTTGAATTCAACATACCGTTGGGGCGTTGGTGCAAGCCTGCAAATCAATGAAAAATACAAAAATAATTAGTAAATCATTGATCGTAGGGATAAAAACCCATATAAAAAAATTTAGAAGGAAAACATAAATATGAGGAGAGAAATTGAAAATGGTAATTAATTAATAAAAAGGGCTTACAAGAGCTTTATTGATCTTGCAAGAATTTTGCCACCATATCATGCCATTGCCATTGATGGTTCCACCACCTTCAACTACTAAGTTCTGAACATTATCAAACAAAAGCCAGTGTCTGCTATCGCTGTTGTAGTCGCTTCGAGAACCAGATGCTTCAATTGTTCCAGAAATCTGATATAATCATATATACAAAATAATACAGTTATTATTATTTTTAGATATGCTATAAATTTGTAATCAAATATCTCTCTCTCTCTCTCTCTCTCTCTCTCTCTCTCTCTCTCATAAAACTTACCCGCATTGTAAGCACAGATTTACAAGGGCCTGTGAAGGTGATTGGCTTAAGAAGATAACTTTTCTGGGCAACCAAAAGAACAGCACCTGCGGATGAACAAGCTTCACTCCAAGCCTTCTTGAATGCCTAATACACAAGTTGAATGTTATCAAACAAAGTTGAATGTTAAACTCACATTATGCAATAACATGCATTTCAAAATTTAAGAAACTTTTTGTTGTTTTTATTTTATATTTTTAGTGAACTTTTTCTAAAATGTTGCCAGTTTTTTTCCCCCTCCTTTTAGGTTTTACAGAGTAGAAGACCATAAGGATTAAAAATAAAAATAAAAAGGGACCAAATTGTTAATAAAAAAATCCAAAAAAAACACCAAAAAAGTCAATTTTCTTTACTTTTTTGTACCTTTCAAGTATAGAAAAACCTAATACGTATAAAATAATAAATAAAAAAAAAGGGAGGCAATTTTTAAAAAATTCAATTGAAAGAAAAATTGTTAGAAAATATGGCAAATTTCCTTCTTTTTTTTTTCGTGTGAATCATCTATTGTATCTCGTGCCCAACCCAATCTAATTAGATATGAGTTATCTTGTATCTAGACAATCGAAAGCTAAAAAAATTATTGCCAAACAACTACAATTCAAATTCATTTGACTACTATTTCATATTTGCAAAATTGATGAAAATTTTGACCACTATTTCATATTTACAAAATTGATAAAATTGATCAAAATTTGAAATTTGTAGATCAAAGTTATTCAATATCACCAATATTATATCAAGTTTAAATTTACACTATATACATTAAAATTTTTGACATTTTAATAAGTATTTTTTTTAATACAAAAAATTTTGGTACCCTAATGACCACATATAGAAAATCATAAACCATGCATGCATAACCCTTTAAAATGAAAATAATTTTGCAAAGAACAAATCTAAAACCCTAAAATTAATATTGGGTGTTAAGAGGGTACCTCAGTGGCATCACTTCCGTCACCTTTAGCTCCAAAAGCATCCACACTAACTGTTTTAGCTGAAGCTAAAACCCTACCCTCTTTACCAAACTTCCTCACCACAAAGATACCATTTTCATGGTTGATAGAGTTCTCAAATTCATTTTTGTCTTCAATGGTGGTGCTGATATATGAAGGGTCTGCTTGAAACCCATAACCATAAGCTTGAACATGATTATTATGATGTGGGTCCGCATGAAGAGAGGTAAAATGACCTGAAACCAAACAGAGAAAGATGATAGATATAGAAATAGATAGAGATATGCTTTGTAGTGCCATTGTATGGTATAGAATAAGATATATGCTTGTTTTGGAAGATGAATTGTTGTAAGGGTATGAGTTTGTCATGCATGGTGTGTTGCATATTTATAGAAGAAAGAAAGAAGGAAAAAAAAGGTGGTGAACGGGGTTGTACTTTGGTAGGGGTCCAGTTTAGTAGTGTTTTACATGACTCCTGTGAGGTATGGGCCAAGGGGCTATACACGGCTATATAGGATATGAGAGATTTAGACGAAAGGAACTCTTTGCGTTGGCCGATGACTTTTGCCCTATAGATGTGTGGATATATGTATATTATGGGTGAGTGTAAATGCGATACGTTTGTAATTTTATAATTATATTTTTAAATAATTTGATAATTGAGATGTGATTTGATTTGATGAATGTTGGGCAATTGATAACGAATTTATTGGATGTCATAATTATCAAGGTCTCGCTTGATATTTGACTATTTTATTTAATTTTTTGAGTTTTCACAAAAAAAACATATAAGAAAAAATTATTAAAAAAAAAATGAGATAACAATGTATGATAACTTTTTGACTAAAAACCTATCATCTTAAACAAGGCCTAAATATGATAGACAATATTTAAAAAAAAAAAAAAAAAAAAGAAGTGACATTACCCCAACTTAAATGTAAATAGAATAGATGAACATACAAGCATGGGTATAGAACTACATAAACACATTTGCTGATTTTGTCTTGATACTTATCTGGAAAATCAAAGATGGCATGCACATTTGTCGTCTGTTTCTTATTTTTATTAAAAAAAAATTAAAAATTAAAAAAAAAAGACATATTTTTATTGTACTTTTTTTTAAAAAAATCAAAAACAAAAGCAAAAAATATATTAGTATGTTTTAGAACCAAGAATACTACAAACCTAAAAATTTGAAGTTTGTCCAGAAAATTTAATATGCAATTCAAATTTATTGTAGATATATACTGGTTACAAGTTTAATCTGGACCATATAGTAACTTTCCGGGTAAAATTCTAGACTTGAATTCTCGTCCTTAACTTTTCTTAATTAGAACATAGAAAAACAAAAATTAGTAGATTGGGGGTGGATCCCTTCCTATGCGTTAGATTAAATTTGATTGGCAGCTAGTTTTCTCGAGACCAATGCCCAAAAATGCTACTTAATCCTTATATTTATAATTACATCATTTGTATCTTTGAATTTTTTACTTTGTGTTAATTTAGACCGATTGATTTATTGAGAGGTTGGCATCTAATTCGAAATGGTTCAATGATCTAGGTTTGGAATTTAAGAGTTTGCTCCTATTTAGGTCTAAAGTTTGAAATCTCTTAAGCCCTGTTTGTTTTGTATTGAATGAATGAAATTGTTACAAAGTGAAGATATATTTATACACTCAATGAAACCTAACCATAACTGCCTAACCTTGAATCTAACTAGTTAACCAAACTACAGTTAACCTCTAACAAACTAACGAATTATGTACAACTGTAGATTATTACACACGTGTGACTTTGGCTACAGGTGCAACTGCTAGAGCTTGAGCTTTAGCTGAAGAGTCAGATAACTGTTGCTGGTGCTACTGTGGCTTATCATGCTGCTTATCATGCCCCCTCAAGCTCAGTGGACTGGAAAGGACATTGAGTTGGTGTTGAAGATATTGAAATCGAGCCACAGATAAGGGTTTCGTAAACGCATCAGCAATCTGGTCAAAAGTGGGGATATGACAGATATAAAGCTTCTTAGAGGCAACCCTTTCGCGAACAAAGTGATAATCGACCTCAATGTGTTTAGTACGAGCATGAAAAACAGGGTTGTTACTCATTACTATTTGTAGACATCCCCGAACGTCCCGGGAGGATGAATCCCCCGTTCTGTTCATATGGGCTCACTACAGTTCAGGACTCAAAGTCACGGTCCTGTATCTAATCTCGCAGAGTACAATGCAAGACCGATGAATCATCAAAGAGTCCAAATCCGGCAAATTATCTGCATTTTAAGCCTACCTGCGAGTAGCAAACCATCTTTCAAACAAACAAACATGAAATGTTTTGTTCCAATTCAGGCGACTCAGTCTATACTTGTATGCTGTGCGCATCACATAGTAACCTAGGCTAATAACCGGATTAAGAACATATAATGTTTTCAAAAATAGATATCATCGTTAGTAGAGGCCGGTCTATGACCGGGCGAGCGGGGGTGCTCACGAAGTGACCTTCCCCAATCGTACCCAAGTTCCCGAGCCGAGGCAACTTTGGTGATGACGGACACGTGGCCTTTGGCAACGAGTTAGGGTTTCCTAAATTTCCCAAAATAAAATATTTAGGTGGCGACTCTGTATCTGGCAAAGCAGTCCATGTTTGGCACTACTTTTTCAAAAATCAGTTTCTCAAAACGATTTGCCGGATTTGGACTCTTTGGTTCAGATTAGGAACCGTGACATTTAAGAGTCCGAGCTGTAGTGACCCCAAATGAACAGAACGGGACTAACCCTCCCGGGGCGTTCGGGGACGTCTACAGTACTCCAAGCCAAAACAAAAGCTACGTTAGAGATCCATGCATGATCCTAACTATGCTGGAATGCCTAATGCAACACATGAAAAATGCTACTACAATAGGCTCGGCTATTCTACAATGGCATGTGAAATGCTACAACTAACACGTATTCAACTCGGAATTGAAATACAATGCAGTTAGTATGATGCGCCGAGCCCGGTGCATGCAAGACAGATGAATGATGCAAACATGCAAGCATAAGTATGCTAATTGAAACATGCCCTAATCTAACCATCATAAGCTGGTAAATAAAAGGAAGAAAGACGTGGGGTTAGAAGACATACATCGCACGCACGCACACTTATTACAATTGTGCCCTCGCTCGGGGGGTCCGAAAGAATAATACAGTCTGAAAGTAATACAGTCCTAATGAATAACGAATTACAATTAATTATTACACAATCACTAACTAATTAACAAATTAACTAAGTAAGCAAATAAATTAAATGAATGTGACTGCCTCGGCTCTATTTTGGATGATAATGGATGCATGCATGCTCGATGCGCTTTGTCGGTAAATTTCATCGCGATGCCTTGTCTCGCCTTTGTTTGCAACTGACTTCAGAAACTTACACAAAGCTCCAGAAGGCTGAAACTCCACCTTGGGAAGGCCACCAACCAGGTATTGGCTTGGAAAACCCTTGCTGACCACCCCTTATGGTGGAAACCAAAAAAGGTGGTCGGCCTACCAAGAAACCTGGTCGGCCGACCACTTTCTGCCCCTGGACTCTAGTTTTTCTACAACAAAGGCAAGAAGGAGAGAAAGCAAGGTATTTTCAACATATGTGGGCGTGACTACTCCTCCCCTTCCTTGCACAAGCTCTAGAGAGTGTGGCCCTCGGTCCTCGGGCCATCAACCACGTATCTCAATGCACGATGGCCGAGGAGTCGAATTGCACGTTTTAATGTGACATGAATGCACAAATACACACTTAAGGCCTAAACTCTATCATGGGAAATCCGGAATGTTGGCGACCAAGAATCGAGGCACGTTTCGTCACTTGGAGTACGAAACATCCCTCGTTTCTCGTGCTTGGACTAAACCCTACTCCAAGCACAATGCAACAAGCAATGCATGGCACGTGCAAATATGACTAGCATGCAATCCTAAGTGTAATGCAACCAAGTGATGCAAGCATGCAAGGGATAAAATGCAAACATCCACCTAGCATATACAATGCTAACACTACATGGCATGCACAATGCTCGTGAACTGAGGCATACTCAATGCGACTATCAACCTAGCATACACAATGCGAGGAATGACATATCATGGCATACACAATGCTCCTAACAACCTAGCATACGCAATGCAAAGGCTAAACATGCAACAACATGAACTACATGGCATGCTCGATGCAAGATGGACTTATACCAATGTGAGCGGACCTCAGCCACACTCACATTAGTGGCCATGTGATGAAAATGAGAGAATCGAAATGCATGCACACATGCACGAATGCCAATGACCGAACCAAAGGCATGAAATACCACTCTACCAAAGCATGGCAAGGGATGGAAGATGGCATACAAACATGCAATTTACAGCTCTAAAATATGGTGAATAATAGGCTCAAAACATGAACACACCGCAGTATATGCATGCAATGAAACTCAAAACTCGAAGCTAGGCAAATGCATTGAACTACAAGCATGCAAAACAGACATCATTCACCCACAAGGCCCAAAAATAGAGCTAGGGTAGTCCAAAATAAGCACAATGTTAGTTCAAAGCATGGCCAAAAAGTGCCAACATGAAGGGCCAAAACAACACGCAACCTAGGCTAGTAAGCATGGTTTACATGGCATGTACATGAAGCATAAGAGAGGTCCTCGAACCAACCAAAAATAGGAATATGATATGTCAAATAAGCCCCAAATAACCACTGAAATGCATCCAACACATGCAAAAATGATGAGCTCCTTTGAAGGGCCATGCAAGGGATTACTCAACACATACAACAAGGACACTTAACATGGCAAAACCAACTCTGGAAATCAATTATGACAATCCTAAAACTCACCAAATTGGCCCCGTAATGGGTCAATGAAGCATACAATGAAAGGCCCCTTCAAAAGGCCTTGAATGGAATTGTTCTACACATGCATTATGGACACAAAATATGGTCAAAGAGGCCTTGGAAAGAGCTAGAGCAGACCTTGAAACTCACCGAATTGGGCCCAAAAAGTGACTTCACAACATGCAAGTGAGGGGCCCTTTGGAAGGCCAAAAGGGCCAACAAACAAAACAAGGAGAGAGGGGGTCACCCCCCTCTGATTTTTGCTCTCAAAAATACATCCAAGCCACTGAAAATCTACTGGATTTCAGTGGCTAAGAGGCCAAACCAAGGCCAATGCAAATACTCACATGCATAGCTCAAAACATGAAGAAATAAACCATGAAAGGGGGGAGATGACCCCCAAATGCAAAGATGGAGCTTCTGGACCAAGTTGGTGAACCTTCAACCCTTGTAAATCAGTCCCAAAGTGCTGGAATGGATGG